AAATAGGAAAGAGTAGCATTGGCGGTGGTGGTGAAGGTCGTATGTCAGCTTGGCTGAGTTGAGAGAATTTTAGTGGTGTAGCCATCGGGCTTTACCTAATGACCTGATCTTTGGAAACTACCCATGTGTGCGGTCCTGAGGCATGGATGTATTTCACTTGTTTTCAATACAATTGCATGTAAGCTTTTATAATGCACTCTCAGGTTAGTGATTTCCCAGAAAAATCCAGTTTTCTGTGAGGCAGTCTTTGCTGTTAACTCTCTCAGCATATTTCTGAATCTTTCCAGCCAGATATTGTTTGTCATTGAAAAGCTCTTGCTTGGTGTCTCTGTTGATAATTTTAATATATTAATCATTAGCCTCATGTCCAAAATGCCAACCACCTATTTCCATGCAATACATGGTAGCTGAGAACGATCCCATCTGGAGAGAGGACTCACTGGGATTTCTCGATGCCCACTGGCAGTTATGTTTCTCTCTCCTGATCACAAAGCCCCCGGGTGCTGCAGACAGTTAATGTGCCCACCAGCTGAACTTGTCCGTGGAAATTGGGGTCCACACAGGCAGCAGAAGAAAGACCTGGTCATTGAAAACCGCATGGAGTACGGTTCTACTCAGACACATGGGTCACCACAAGTCAGTCAGCACCATGACAACTCATTTTTATAGAGCAGAGAATGCTTTTTCCTGGGCACCCCAGCTTTTTCTGTGGGGTCTAGTACATTGTAGGTATTGCAGGTAGGCATTTAGTCTCATTTTTGTGAAGATGGTTCTTCTAGTCTTGACCATTTATAACACTTTAATGGTTGTAATCTTCTTTTGTTTTCCTCATTAGAATATGAGCTCGATGAGGGGAAAGTTCTTGTTCCTCCTCTTGCCAGGGTGTGCCCGGCTTTTTGTGTAGGGTCTGGTCCATAGTAGGGGTTCAGAAACAATTTTGTTGAATGTTGACATGTACATTTAGTACCTCTGGGAGTAGACCAAGAAAGACCTGGAGTTGAGGCCTAATGGCCGTTTTGGTTTTTTTTTAATTTAAATAACAGTTTTCTTGTCAGGTATTTAATAATTTTCATTAACATTTTAAAAGTCATTTTATTGGGGGGGCTCTTACAGCTCTTATAACATTCCGTACATCGATTGTATCAAGCATATTTGTACGTATGTTGCCATCATTTCCAAACATTTTTTACTTGAGCCCTTAATGGCCTTGGACAAAGTCGTTGAACCACTCACAATCTTCGCCTATAAATTTCTTAAGACCAGGGAGTACAGCTTATGCTAGAAATTACTTGATACATAGGGGGCCGATACCCAAGAGTTCAAGAAGTAAAAAAATGTTTTGAAACGGATTGTAGTAGCAATTGTACAACTATGCGTGATCTGTTTGAATTATGGAATGTTATATCTGTAAGAGCTCCCCAAAAAATGATTAAAAAGAAAAGATTAATAACATTTGATCACTTGGAATAATGATTATTGAGCATGCCATGTGTAAGTCTTAATGTTTAATGGACTGCCTGTTTAGCTCTTCGATTAGACAACTAAGATGACCCAAACTTTAGCTGTTTAGTGGCTTATCCTTGAATTTTTATACGTTTGAGGGGAAAAGCCCTTGGCTCCGATCGTGACTTCCCCCTTTGTTGAAATGAGTTTTATTGATGGAACAGTTTCTAGTGTAACTTTAAAATGTAAAAGAAAAATATTTTGTTATCTCTTTTTTTCTTTTATCAGTTTGAAACTTGAGTCGCTTTTAAGTTTTGACATGGCAAGTAGAGAAATGTGCCAGATAATGAAAATCAGCACTGTTATTTTGTCATTTGAAGGCACAGAATTTGCTTTTGTCCCTGATACAATTTCATTCATCTGGAGTGTGCGTTTGATTCTCACCTGGAGGCTGAGTCCGACTTGAGCCTTGGGGAAGCACACGGGCAGTTCATTCTGCTTAGTCCCCAAGGGTCTCACTGAGTCAGCAGGATTTCGTGGCCATGAGGTTGGTTGGCTGTTTGTTTTGAGCATCTGCCCACTGGGTGTTGCTCTGCAGGTCCTCCTGGGCTAGTTCTAGTGCGAAGTATGGTCCATAGGTGGTGGTGGTGGTGGTGAATGGGATCTCCAAGGTGAGAGAAAGCATGACTTGTTGAGTGAAGACTTGATAGTGAGATGATTTGAGTGAACTTATATTTGATAAGTTTGTTCCTTGAACTAATGGAAGAAACCTGCTTGTTGCTGTTTTTTAATGAGTACTGCTCTCCAAGGAGAAATCAGTCTTAATGTTTTCTTGAGAAACCATTTCTCCTAACTCCCTTCTTACTACCGATATTACGTGTATCCAATGGTAATTTTAATTCTTTTTTTTAATCATTTTTTGGGGGCTCATACAACTCTTATCACAATCCACACATACATCAATTGTGTAAAGCACACTTATACTTTTGTTGCTCTCATCATTCTCAAAATTCTCACTTTCCACTTGGGCTCCTGGAATCAGCTCCTCATTTTTCTTCCCCTCCTCCTCCCGCCCCTGCTCCTCCCTCCCTCATGAACCCTTGATAATTTATAAATTATTATTTCATCATATCTTACACTGCCCGGCGTCTCCCTTCACCCACTTTTCTGTTGCTCATCCCCCAGGGAGGAGGTTATATGTAGATCCTTGTAATCTGTTCCTCCTTTATACCCCCCTTTCCCTCCCATTAAATCTTTTAGTGTGTTTTTCCCTTTGTCCTCAGTTTGAATAGGAACATGCAGCTACTAGGAAATCAAGAAGTAATAACTCTAAAAGAAATTCCTCTGACAAATTTTAAAATCTTCATGACCTCCTTAGGCAGGTGTGAGGCTACTGAACAGTCTCCCAAAAGAAAGGAGAGTGTGCTCTCGTGCACCTTGCTGCAGAAGGATCCCCTGCTGGGCAAGCTGCTGAGGGAATTGTGGTTGTTACCGAGCAGGTCTTCTGCCTAGTGAAGTGGGCAGCCCATGTCTTTTTCATCAAGCGTGTTTTGTTTGTGTGTGTGTGTGTGTGTGTGTGTGTGTGTGTGTGTGTGTGTGTGTGTGTGTGTGATACTGTGGGTTTGTTTTTTTCTGGTGGGAAAACTTTTTGTGTATACTCAATTGGTTTTCATTTTATTTTATTTATTCCTTCCAAGATTATCACCCTGTTTTTCCTTTTGTATCATTGATCACTCTTTTAGTTCATTCGCATGAACTTGGATCTCTTGGCATGACCCAAGGCAGACTTTCCTCCCATCTCCTTCAGGTGATGCTGCTTATCAGCTCAAAACTTATTTCCTCAAAATTTGAGTGGCCTATTCCTGCCTGTAGGTGACTTCACCTCAGTCAGTAGTTCCCAAATTTGATTATGCTTTAGTGCTAACGAACAAGGTCGGCAGTTCAAAACCAGCAGCTCTGCACAAGACAAGATGAGACTTACCACCATTGTAAAGAGTTAGTCTTGGAAACCTACAGGGACCGTTCTAGCCTGCTGAGTTACAATCGACTTGATGGCAGTGAGTTTGTTTTTGTTGTTCCATGGGGGAGAAAATTCTCACCAAAATCAGGTTTTTTGGTTTGTTTTAAACTGGAGTGATTCTTCTTATACCACTGTTACTCAAAATAATTACAAGCCAAAGCTAGCTATAAACCAGATATAGGTTAGGTTAAATTGTTTTTATTCAGCTTTTAGGCCAAAGTGATTTTACACTTTAAATACAACAAAGCTTCTCAGACCAATATAATTTAAGTTAGTAATGTTGACTTAGTTTATTAGTACTTGTGGATTTGCTTAGGGTCTGTATTTAGTCTGGTTGGTATTTTTGCATCAACTCTAATTCAATGAATACCTGTATTATCAAGATCTTTTGTACAAAGCAAGGTATTGACCTTGCAAATGGAGAATAATCAAGCCTCATATTTACCTAAAGTATCATCAAATAATTAATTCTCTATTGCCAGTTTGGTGAAGGGATCACGTAACTAAAAATAAGATGTAAATTTAACAATTCATTGTTATTCAATGTGTTTGGATGACTAGACTTATAAAACTGGAATCAAAACAAATTTTCTTCCGTGCTTCCTACCACTACCTACCTAGTAAGATGTAACCTATGTACGGGTAATGAACAGGACTCCACCTCTTTACTCCAGTGAGCAGAGAAGTCTATTCTGGTGCCGGGACTTGGGAGTTCAGTGAGCCCTGGTGCTGTGGGAGGCTTTCCTGTTAATATGACTGAAGCACAGCACACCCCTCCCCCAGCCCCCCACTCCCAGCACCTGCAGGTCGGGTCCTGCAGCTGTGCCACAGGAGATAGGCAATGAGCTAGCATCATTTTTTGATGGAATGGAAATGACGACATCAGTCCTTTCAAAAACAGGTGGTTGGTGGGGAGGGGGGTTTGAGCCTATATAGTTTGTACGTTTTAGAACAAAGATTTTTTTAGGACTAATAAAATCTCTTTGCCGTTGTGTAGATGCTGATTCACTTCAGAAGCTGGGGAAAGTGAGACTGGCAGCGAAAGAGCTGGGGGACACTGAGATGCAGAGGGGCAGGTTCTAGCCAATACCCTAGGGAGCCCTAGATAAAAGGAAGACCTTTCTTACCATTGGTGCACTTTTTCAGGACACAAAGGGAGTTTTACTCGTTGTAGAAGATGGAGCTAACTACTCTCCAGAATTGAAGTAGGCAAGCAAACCATGTTCGTAGAATCTTGAAAACTGAACCAGGGAGAAGCCATATTAAACCAAGTTCTTGCCCTTCTTTCATCTGAAGCCTACCTTCTCAGCAGTGGTTCTCAACCTGTGGGTCACGACCCCTTTGGGGTCAAACAACCCTTTCACAGGGGTCGCCCGATTCATAACAGTAGCAAAATGATAGTGATGAAGTAGCAGTAAAAATAATTTTATGGTTGGGGGCATTAGGAAGGTTGGGAACCACTGCTTTTCAGGAATGTTAACACTGCTCATAAAATTCTGTTCTTTATCTGACTAATTGGGACTTTTCTCTGCTGCAGTGAGAGGGTCCAAGCCTGGGAAGAATGTCCAACTCCAGGAGAATGAAATCAGGGGTCTGTGCTTAAAGTCTCGGGAGATCTTTCTCAGTCAGCCTATCCTGCTAGAACTTGAAGCACCACTCAAAATATGTGGTAAGTGCTGGCTCTTGGGTAGCTGGGTCATGGGATCAGTTGATGACGACCTTGTATTAGCCAACAGATTCATGTACTATTCATGAATAAGCTAGAACTGCTTCAGCTTAAGTTGAGTAAGTATAGCTGTAGAATAAGTATCTTTAAATGGACCAATTTTATTTAGACGTGCTTCCGATTGTATTTAAAAAATAGATTACCTGAAAGACAGTAAAAATAGTAGAAGAAAGAAATGAAACCAAGAGTAGAGAGCTAAGAAAAGATCTCAAGGTGTAGGAATTATATTTAATCTTGAAGCAACGCTGGTTTTGATAATTCCTCCTAGTACATTTGACTACAATGTTAAAGCTTAAATGTAAACATATATATATATACATAAATGTTTTTTAAATAAAATGCTCTTGGGTATTACTTAAAGGGAGAACTTCAAAACCAAACATGTTGGTGGCTGCACTATGCCGGCCTATGCTCAAGTGTGTCCAGGCAGGGCTGAGTGCGGTATAGCCTGTCTGATGACACTGTACCTGTGACTGAAGCTGTTGGAGATCTGATACTGATCTGCTAACTTGAAGGAAAGCCATGTTATCTATCAGGAAGACATGAATGCACCTTTCCACAGAATAAATTTATGTGGGCACTGGATGTACATGCACACATTTTATTGTGCTCAATTGAACTAAATATGATGCCTGTCTCTCATTGCCATCAAGTCAATTCTGACCCAGTAGGATATACATGGTTGGAAATACTAAATGCTAGCTTCCAAATGAAGGCTTAAGGACCCCTGATGGTATAGTGGTTGAGCACTCAGTTACTAACTGTAAGGTCAGTGGTTCAAACCTACCAGCAGCTCTGTGGAAAAAAAGATGTGTTCTCTTGCATCTGTAGAGATCCGTAGAGACTGCTGTGGAAGCCTGTGGGAGGACAACTCAACTCTGCCCTTGCAGTGTTGCTGGGAGTCAGAATTGACAAGATGACAATGGGTTTGTGGGGGGGGAGGGGTTGGTGTTTGAGATTTAATGCCGTTGTTCAGTGAGTGTGTAAAGCATGCCTTTTCCAAAGCTTTGAAATAAAATATGGGAACACTTAACAAACTTCTTGCTTCTAGGTGACATCCATGGGCAATACTATGATTTGCTTCGACTCTTTGAGTACGGTGGTTTCCCACCAGAAAGCAACTACCTGTTTCTTGGGGACTACGTAGACCGGGGGAAGCAGTCCTTGGAGACTATCTGCCTCTTACTGGCCTACAAAATAAAATACCCGGAGAACTTTTTTCTTCTCAGAGGGAACCATGAGTGTGCCAGCATCAATAGAATTTATGGATTTTATGATGAATGTAAGTAGTTTCTACATCTAAAGAAGAATTATTAGAATACTCTGTCAAAACCCCGTCACACACTTCTGTGGTTTGGGTTTGTGGGCATTCAGACGCTGTGTTGGCACCCCTGTTGCGCTCCTGTTATCTTACTTTATGTCTAAGGGTTTTAATCTTGGCCTGTCCTGGACTCTTGTATGATGTATGATGCCAGATAGAAGAAGGCTGTGACCACAGTGGTAGTTTTTCTGTAAGGTAATTCCTATAAATCAATATAGGCAACTTAACTGTTATTATTCTTAGTACAGCTCCCAAGAACCTGGTCAAATAGATAGTTTGGTTTTAACAGCTTGTTGTGTTATGATTTCATTCCATAAAATTAATCTGTTTCAATGTGCAATCCCACTGATGTAGTAAATATCTAGAGTTTTACAACTATCACCACACTCTGGGCAACTGCTAATCTGTCTTTTGTTTATAGATTTGCCTTTTGGGGCTTTCCATGGAAATAAAGGGTTGACATGTATAATTAATTGGCTTTTGGAAAATTTTCCCCTTATGGCAAAGAATGTAGGAGAATGGAGAGACACAATTATTTATGTAACAGTTTTATGACCCATTTTTTTATTAATGAGACTACACATTTAGCTAGTGATTGGTAAACATTTTAGTCGTACCATATTTGTTGTCTTATATAACTCTATAATAGTCTCAAAAATGTTTTCAATCTTTGCTGAGCCTGCCCTTTGTGCCAAAAGAGCACTCAGATGGCAGGCGGTAGGAGGTGTAGGGGCTGTGGCTTCTAGTACTTATTAATGTGGTTATAACTAGACCAGCAGACCATTGTCCCAGTGGCCACCTGGAGCTGACCTCCTACCCTTGTGACACCTTTTGACCAGCTCATTTGCTAGGAGTGTAGTGTGGAAAGGGGAAGGGATTGCAGTCAAAGACTTGACGCTCCAGTCACCAGCCTTTCCTACAACTGGATGGATATTTGTTTGATTCGGGCCCTGAGACCCTGCCATCTAGCTGATAAAAGAAATACATGCCACTGGAAGATGAAGTAGGAGGAGTCACCAGGGAGATTCTGGACTGGTGGGACAAATGAACAAGGAGTACCTTTGATAGAGATGGGTTTTTAGATAAATACTCCTACGTGGGGGTTATTCCTTAGGCAGAGATTTTTGGCCACTTCTGTCATATTTTGGATGTTTGTTACAGCAGCTGCTTTTTAGAAGGGGTTAAAGTATCACACATCATTACTTCCAGTGACTGATACACTAATCCTGATGAGACACCATGAACCTTGGTTTTCATTTAATGCAGAAACCTTAAAAAGATATAAAAAGCTGTGATCATTGGGGCTCATTTATCAACATCCATACTTGAGCCCATGACCCTGATTCTGCCTGCAGGGTCATCCTGTCCCTGCCCTCATGCTGCCCCCACCAGCCCAAACCAAAATACCAAATGAAATGCCACCAATTCAGTGCTGACTCACAGAAACCCTATAGGATAGAGCAGGGTAGAACTGCCCCTATGAGTGTCTAAGACTATCTCTTTATGGGAGTAGAAAGTCCTGTCTTTCTTCCATACCCCCCACCCAATCTATCAGGCATAACTTTTTGGGCAGAGGTGGCTTTAAATTGGTCATTTGCAGACTTTTCTCTTTTAAAAGATCTCTAGTCATTAAAAGAATTTTTAAAGGTGTGTTCCAGTAACGTGTGCCTTTGGTGTCACTCCTGTATTTAGCTCTTTACTGTGAGCTTCATGAGAGACTGAGGTTTCTGTGGGAGGGCACTGACGAGGTGACTGCCTGTTCCTGAGAGCAGAGCTGGTAGTCCTGGAGAACTGCTTTAGGGCTGCTGGTTCTAAGTCTTAGGGTTTGGCAGTTACTCAGACTACACCCTTCTGGATCCAGAAGTTCCTGGATGTTTGAAGGGCCTTTAAGGGGGTAGATTAGAAAGAAAAGAAAGTAAGGGGTCCAGGAAGCAACAGGCAAAAATCCTAACTGATGATGGAGGAGCAGGTATGGATAACAGGAATAAGCAAGAAAAGCTGGAGTGTGTTTGTGTGGCAGAAGAATCAAGAAGCAAAGCCAGTTTCAAGATAGCGAAGAGTTAGACAGCCATGGCACATGCAAAGGAAAAAGTTGGCCTGGGGCAGGCATTAGGGAAAATCTGAGGGCACCAGGTGATTGTTCAGAGGATGGGCTGTAGAACCGTATCACCTCACTGGGGGGGGGGGGCCAAGCCCATCTGGATCCTGGTTTATATTTCTTGCAATAATAATTGCTGTAAATTGGACACTGCTGGGGAGGGGTTGGGGAGTATATAGGTTTGTTCCCTGCAGCCTTTTGTAGGGAGGGATTCTGTTATGTTTCTAGAACCTTCCAGTGAAGGAAGATTTCAGACAGAGGGTATTATGAGGCCTTTCCAGAATGCAAAGCAGAATCTGAACTGTGGGAAGAGTGATGCCCAGATAACAGAAACCAGAAACTCTTCAGCAGACAACAACAGACAAGACTGGTCATCCTCTGAAGGGAAACGTGCTGTCTCGACCTCCTGCCCTGCTGGATTTGCAGTCGGGAGAAGGCCTGGTTTGGGACACCTCTTGTAAGAACCAGTTCTCCTTCAAAGGAGTTGAGTGCCATTAAAGTGTTAAATGTCCCTCTAATACCCGGGCCAGAGAACACATTCATGGTCCATTAAAGACTTTGCTTTGACCCTCAGGTTTTCCTGACAACGGGCGGCTATAGGAGACCGACCAATTTGGGAATATTTGTATTTCAATGGCTTGGGAAATAGGTTTTTACTTGAGAACACAATTTCTTGTAAAACAGTGTCTGAAAGTTTGGTTGATGGTGCTTCTGTCAGAATCAGAGTCTTATTCCAGAGTACATGAAGTACATGGGGCCTACCTTGTCAGTGAGGGGGTGATCTTGAGTATGTGCAGCCTATGGGGAGCACTGTCTGGGCCCTGCAAGGGCCGGTCTCTCTGTGCCTGGGATACTTGTGTTTCCTCCTGAGTGGCTGGGGGAAGCTTGAGGGCCAGGGGCTTATCTGGGGAGAGGGGAGGGAAGGCAGATGAGACTCAGCTCTCAGAGGTTGCCCCAAAAGGAAGATGGTAACAGCACATGTATAAATTCTTCACAAATTCACTTCCGAATTAGGGTGCTTAGGTGTCAGTTGAAATCGTGCAGTACAACAGACTAGATTTCAGAGTTCATACAACAAAATATTACTGTTTGATGATAAACCTTAATGATTATCATGTCTGGGACTCTGATTTCTAATTCATATAGAATTTTTAAAAAGTATCTCCAAATATCAAATCCAATTTTTCTAAATAGCTGGGGTGGGGGTGGGTTGTTGGTTAACTTTTAAAAATGGTTTCCACATAGTTTATAAGGTAATCAGAATCTTGGTTTTGGGGAGACTCGCCTGAAGAAAAACATATGGAACCACAATTTTGTTGACCACCCTAAAATGTTTGTAGGTAAAAGAAGATACAATATTAAACTCTGGAAAACGTTTACAGACTGCTTTAACTGTTTGCCAATAGCCGCCATCGTGGATGAGAAAATATTCTGCTGTCACGGAGGTATGTGAGCTGAGGCTGATTGCTAGCAGATCTTCATCCCCTCTGAAGGGTGGACACTGGGACATTGATGATGACCTCCAGGGCCAGGTTCATCTTTGTTGGTGCCTCTCATCACAGGTCTACTCAGACACAACCCAGATAATTTAGATAAAGGTTGTTGGAAGTAAGGAATTAAAAAGCAGGAACTCTAGGCTATGTAAGATTTTAAAATAGAGCATTAAATCTTTTCCGTGGAAAATGAGCAGCAATTGCTCTGCTTGTAACACAGACCTGTTGGCGTGACAGTGACAGGAATTGACTTTCCAGGATGCTTAGACCTTTAGTAAGAAAGGTACAGTCTTCTACCTGTACATTGGAATTGGAATGTGACTATGTTCAGAGGTTGTGCTTTGTACAGTAATTAAAGCAGCAACTGCAGCGAAGGTGTCTTTCCCTCTGTGGTCACAATCAGGCAGCTCTCAAAGAGCTAACACAGTTCACAATGGTGAGCCGAGACCAGGGCCAGAAAATGCAGACAATGATGGTGCAGCCCATCATATCCTGCGCCGTTTGGCAGGAGTAGGAAATTCAGGCCAGGAAACCGAGAAGTAACAGTTCAAGACAAAGCTAAAAGAGAAAGATCCCAGATTCCGGTGTGGCTCTGTGAGCAAGTTAATATGCAGAACAAGGGCTGTCTCATAGGCTTTGCTGATGCAGCAGAGATTCCTTCTAAAACAAAGTCAAGAAAAGCAACTGGGACGGATCATGCTAAGAGGAGATAACATCACTTTGCTATAAAATGTGTCTAACTAGAAATGACCATTGAAGTCACAGGCTGAGGGCAAGGACTCCCCCACTCCACTTTTTTTAAGTGTTCTTTATTAAAGAGCCAACACAATGTACTGTGGTTGCCCCTGTGATCCCTGCCCCCTAGATGTAATAATGGGTCATAATGAGTTGGGCGTACAGTGTTTTAACTCAGATGAAAGCCAGCATCTGTGCTGGTCTGATATACCTGAGACTGGATGTGCCTGTGCATTACCTGAGATTCACATTGTCAGCTATGGGACGGGCAGTGGAACAGTGGTCTTAAAAGTCACTGTTAATTTTACAGTTTTCTAGAGAATCTCAGTTCTCAAACTTACTTGACCCACTGCCCCCTTTTCAGGGGAGAAGAAGCTTACTCCTCCCCTCCAGCAATTAAAAACGTGTACTATATCCATAATCCAAGATAAGGCATAGGTGTCTGCTTTTGCAGCCCCTGGATTGTTCCAATGCCCCCCCCCCCCCCCGGGGGGGGGGGGCAGTATTACCTACTTTGTCAAGCACGACTATAGAGAAACCATCTCCAATGGCTAAGTTATTATAAATTCTAGTTCTTATTTAGCTGAGGGTAGTTTTGTTCTTTTTTAAAGGCTTTGCTCTTTTCTCCTCCCTCTTTTCTGGTTAATAGGTTTATCACCAGATCTTCAATCTATGGAGCAGATTCGGCGAATTATGCGACCAACTGATGTGCCCGATCAAGGTCTCCTTTGTGATCTTTTGTGGTCTGACCCCGATAAAGATGTCTTAGGCTGGGGTGAAAATGACAGAGGAGTGTCCTTCACATTTGGTGCGGAAGTGGTTGCAAAATTTCTTCATAAGCATGATTTGGATCTTATTTGTAGAGCCCATCAGGTATTGATTTTGAATTTTACATGAACCCTTACGAGCATGTGTGTGAGCACAGATTCTCCTTGTTGGTTTTGGTGGGTAGGTATTGGTTATTATATTGAGAGTTTGTGGAAGTGACTTAGCCAGGGTATCAGGTTCATTGGGAAATAGAAGGCTTCTTACTCCACTACAGACTGCACAGGCTTATAATGAAAATCTTTCTTCCCCAAGGTGGTTGAAGATGGATATGAATTTTTTGCCAAGAGGCAGTTGGTCACTCTGTTTTCTGCCCCCAATTATTGTGGAGAGTTTGACAATGCTGGTGCCATGATGAGTGTGGATGAGACGCTGATGTGCTCTTTTCAGGTATGGGTGTCTTTACCCTCATCTCCTGCATCATCTGAGCTCTCTTGCCTCATTGGTTGTTTCTTTCCTTTATGTAATGTAAGCTAAATTTCTGTTTTCCCTTAATGGGATTAAAAAATGAACTTAATCTTCCACTAACTTTTTGTAACCTCTTGTAAATATCATAGGCTGTCCCCTAGTGTTGAGAGTAACTATTTTTACATCACTTAAATGTGGAAAGGTCACTCATTTCACATGCTTGTGGCTCTTAAATGGCAAATCTAAAACCATAGGCCACCGTGATGTTCTACTAGAAATGAAGTCACGTCTCACATGTGAGAAGATGTATCAGATGCTCTGTGTGGTGACTCATGTCTGCCACCATTTCTCTCTGGTCCAGTTTCTGCACAACCTGTGTGCACGGCACCACCTGGCCTTCGCTTGCCACCAATGAATCCTTTACACATCAGGGCAGCTCAGTCTTCCTCATCCTCTGATGATGGTTAGATTTGTACAACCTCAAGCCAGCTCTGCCATAAACAGAAATGCAGCTGCTGAATTCACGTGGTAGGTATTAGATAAATTAAAACAGTTGCTGCCTAGCTATCCTGAAGAACTTCCTGAGACTCACAGGATCCCCTGTGGTTTTGAAAGACACTACTCTGAGGACATTTCCCCTGGTCATAGCAGTGACCTAAAGATGCTACCAGGTACAGACTAAAGAATTTTCCTTTTAAACCACAGGAAAAGAATTTTTCCAGATCATCATAATGTTTATCTTCATAACGTTTATTACCCAAATGGTTACTTTTCAGCGTGGTTTATGTTGACAGGATAGAGAGGCTTTCAGAATTCCTAGTGTACTTAAATAGTCAAGAAATATTTTTAAATCAAAGATTTGAGTGAAGTTCAAGGAACTTTGTTTGGGGAATGATTACATTTTGTAACCTGCTTGCCCTTTGACTCTTTACAGATTTTAAAGCCGGCAGAGAAAAAGAAGCCGAATGCCACTAGACCCGTCACACCACCAAGGGGTATGATCACAAAGCAAGCCAAGAAATAGATGTCCTTTTGACTCTACCTAGTTGGGACTTGTAACATAGAGTATATAACTTTCCTTTTTGGAGCTGTAATGTGTACTGGTCAGCTTGCTCAAATAGATCTGTTGTGTTAGTGGGCCCTCCCCCCAGTTTTGATTACTGAACATCATTTGCTGGTTATAGCAGCAAGTGAAAGACCATCTCCGCTCCCAAGAGAAGTAATTTGTTTGGTTTTTTAATTCTCTAGTCCTTTTGCAGACAACTTGAATAATGGCGTTAAAGCTGCTTACACCCAGGACAGTTTGCCCTGTCTGAAGGGTGCAAAGACAGTTGATTTCCCCCCGCCCCCAATTCAGTACAACCCATGCATAATGTAAATGCATTTTCTTTAGGGCATAAAGAGAGCCCTAGGGTGCTCTGAATCTGTACATGAATCTATGTCATTGTCATAAAATGCATACTGTTGATATAAATCACTGTGAACTTGTTTTGTTTTTAATTTGTTTCAAAGGGATTACTTTTTTCTTCATTGTCTTTTCATGTACAAACTGGTTTTTATGGCTATCAACATATTAGGAGTAACCTTCAACCTTGCCAGCATCACTGGTATGATGATGTATATTTAATTAAAGCACACGTTTCCCTTACCGTATACTTACAATGACAATTAAAGCCATTATTTTAAATGTTTGTGACTCTTTCCTAAAGCCAAAGTTTCTGTTGAAATACGTGTTGACACGATCCTAACTACAAGGTGGTGTGGCTCTGTGCACCTGCCACCTTTAGGGGATTGAAAACAGGTTTTTTATTTTGAAAAGCCATTAGTAAGATAGTGCTACTTAAGCTATTAATAATTGACGTTAGCATTTTGTACAATTTCCATATAGTCTGTTCACTAAGTCATCTCTTTACAGTTGCATCAGGCCTGAACCCGTCCATTCAGAAAGCTTCCAATTATAGAAACAATACTGTTCTTTACGAGTGACCGATTATGCTCTATGTGGCCTACATGCTTTATTCTGCGGTGAAGTTGAGGCTTCTAAGTCAAAACGAAGGAACTAACTATCCACCAGTTTATACAGAGCTCACAGTATCTATGACTTTTTTAAACTAAGATCTGTTAAAAAATGTTTCAACAGATGACCGTGTATAATACCATGTGGTGAAAATGAAGTCAGACTTATTAAATGCAAAACTTGTTCAATCCTCTCAGTGTCTATTTATCAGCACAATACACACAGGAGAACTGTTAATGGCATCTTGAATAGATTTTAATGAATAAATTGCTCTGGAAACCACACGGTCTCGCTTCGGATTTGTCTTCCTTCAAACAGTCTTTTTAAAAACATCCAAAGATGATTAGAGTACCATGGCTGCTCATATTCTTTGAACTATAACCTGGACATAGTTGACGTTCCAGAAATCTAGAGAGAGTGGTTGAACTGTGATGTTACAGACAAGGACTCTACTATTGGAGGAGGAGGGATTTGCTCACACTCTTATGACACAGTTTGTATCGAGTTGCTTGCTGAGATCAGATGAAGTTAGCCACTTGGTTTGTGTTAGCCCGTGTTCTGACGCCAGTGCTCTTAGGCACAGTGCTTGAATCACTTCCGGTTGTCAGACTCACAGAGCACAGTGCTGTGTCGGGTTATATTTGTCGCAGTGTGTTGGGTGCCTGTGAGTATTTGAGTCCAGTAGGAAAGGTGGGGGAAGAGCCTGTCTTCTGTTGTGCACTGGTTTCCCTTGGGGTGTTGGGAGGAAGTGTGGAGCAGGTGATGGGTGGGCAGACAGGGCACTGGATCCTGACCTGCAGTGTGCTGCTCTGACCCTTGGATCCTTCCTGCTACAACTAGGGGAAGATAGGCCATATATGTGATGTCCCTGAATTGGCTGGCTTCAACTGCTGCGGCCAGCACAAAAGCCAGCATCGCACCATAACCTCATGCTGGGCTTTAAGTGAAAACACCACGGAGTAGGGGTGGGTAGCAAGAAGCAAATTATGGAGGTACCAAGCCACAAAAAAGGTGCCAGACTGATGGAAAGGAAGAGAAGTGAAGCTTCCCATTGTGCGACCATGCATGGAGGAGGTTGAAAAGGAACTTGATTTGCTGGAGAGAAGATGAAAGGTCTGCTGGTAAACTCACATGTTGGCAAGGGCAGGCGAATCCTTGCAGGAAGTACTGTGTGAGTGAACACATGACTTGGGGGGTATTGGGGGGACATGGGTGTCATGCTTCCCAGTCCTTCCTGGCTAGTATAGAGAGCAGGATCTGTATGAGGAGAGAGGGGTGTCTTGCTCACATTTTGGGTCAATAGAAGCTGATAGAGAAGAGCTCTACTCAACAGGCAGTGAAAGTAGGTTTAAGGTGTTCAGTGCTGCCCTTTTTCTCATTGTTTGAAAAGAGACCTGCTCATTGAGGGTTTTGCAAGGATGCTTCTCCGCTTTTTTCCCTTGCGTAAATTCAGACGAAAGGATACCCCGCCCCAGGCTTTGGTTTTCTCTTACAATAGGAGTTGAGAGAATTAGCCTCTCCCTTCCCTGCACACATGAAATGGCTTAATAAGGA